AACCTACTTCATTGAAATCTTGGTTCAAAAGAAAGAAATGGCACTAGTCATGTTAGAAAGGCTGAGAAAACCACTAGGAGGACATTCTGAGCTTCCAATTGGTTATTCATGTCATATATAGAAGTAAGTGTATATAAGGGTGCATTTCCAAAAACAGAAAGAGGTGGACAGGGTGCCACTGTGTTTGATTTATTACATGAGCAATATCTCAGCAAATTGAAAAGATAAGAGGCTCTTGTTTTATATTCTAGCTTGTCAATATCGATAATTTGAGTTTCTAATTTGTTTGAAACTACAGACTTAGTACTTTGACTTGACAAACATCTAATTTCAACCAGTGCTGCATTCAACATACCACATGACATGCAAAAATCTATGTTTATCTGTGTTTTTTAATATTTGCGTTTAAATTAAGAAATTGAATAATATATATAGTACTAAAATTTTAATTATAATTATTATTACAGTTTGATACTAAACTTACTGACATAAATTCATGAAATAGTAGTTCTATAAAAGTTTGAATGCCAGTCAACAAACGAGATGACATGGCCTTTCACCCCTGACCTGTCACGAAAGGGTTAATGAGTTACATTTACTTATCACTAAACAACTTGCAAGAAAAGTATAAAACTATATACAGTTTTAAACAGCACACCAATCATGAAAGTGGTATTTTTTCCATATTTTTCATTTTCTGAAAGTAGTTGTTCTCTGAAAAACTGTCTCACAAGTGAATTTTAAGTGAAAAATAATACCCGTAACTTGTACAAATTACCAAAAAAAGTTAGAAATTTGCATGATGATTATTTTGTCATCAATATTTTGTGACTATCAAGCAATAAATAATTTGTAAAGTTCCAGAATTTTGCTATTATGTTCATTAATTGTTGATTCAAAATGTGGAAAATCTTCTGCTACATAAGACTTAATTTCATTAGCCCTTCACTCATTAAATAAGTATTAATTTGATATTTGTTCTCACTAACTATATTTACTTTAATCTTAATTGCACAACATATGCTTTCAAAATTAATGTAGAACCAGGATCACTTCAAGTCCCTTTGCAGCCACAGACTCAGTAGGCATTCTGGTCATGTCAAATGTTCCGAGTTTTGTTTCAGTTCAGACTTAAGGTATAATTCTATAAGATATCTATATATCTTTTCATTTATTGTAATATTTCTGTAGAACAGAAAGCAATTATCAATTCAATCTGTTTAGCTACCAAAGAACATTTTAATGAGTTATTAACTTTAAAAACTTATATGTTTCATGTGCAATTATTTTATTTAACTTATGCATAAGCACTGATAGCCTGCATAACATATCTTAACAGCTATATTATTAAATATTACAGACCACACTATGGCAACCATGAACCAACTACATCACATATCAGGCAAGTGGTACATTTGAGAGCCATCTCAAAAGAACATGTAGAAACATTCTATGATGGGTAAACTGTTATAAATAATGTACATGGAGAACATCTAACAAGTGATTCAGAAATGATAAAGCCAAATAATTGGAAAGGAGAATTAACCAAGTGAAGAACACATATCTGTCAATTATATACATGATCAAGTAAAGAACACGAGTGAGAAATAGAACACTGCTATCAATTGGCAAAGAACACATAAATGGTGTAATTTGAGATGAAAAAAATATTCTTAAACTTCTGTAATTAAAATGTTGTGTTCAATCTATAAAAACATGTTGGTATATTGAATTGTGTAAGAAACTTTTCAACATCTTTTGTTAATGGGATATCTATGCAAAGTGCATGAAAAGATCAAATATAAAAACCTGACATGCATCAAAAAGGATGTTGCTTCCAGAAGAAGAAGAAGAAAAAAAAAACACCATCTGGTTGTTCTGTAAGATCACCACAATTGCAAGAGAAGGAAAAGTGGCCAAACTGAAATCAATTACAGGACGGCAAAGGAAGAAATTCTATTTGCAAAATTTCCTAGGTATGAAAAATACTCAATGATTATATTATTATTGCATTTAAGGTTACAAATAATTGTGACTGTTAGAAAACCTTTGTATTATGTTGAAGTACTGTTTGAGGCAGAACCATGTTTGCATTTTTTAATTCTAAGTATTTTCCATTAAAACTTTGAAGTATGTGTGCTTGTGGGAATGGAATGCTACAATTAAAAATTTTCCCAAATTCTATTTTAGCTTGAAAAAGATGTATGGTGTAAACCTCAGAACAATGTACAATGAGGTTGTGTGTGAACAATTTCATAGAGGATATTAAAGCAAGTTTTCACATAAATGTTCTTATTGGTGGATTCTGCAACACAAGCATAACTGAAAGAGATTAGTTTTTTTTACTTGTGTAAAGAAGGGCTCATAAGAAACTTTTTTTAAAAATTGTAAATGAAGAAGATGCACCTGTAGAATGTCTTAAATGCAAACTTTTGGAAACAAACATTTATTAAGTATGATATTGATTTGAATGAATAAAAGGCCTATTAGCTGATAGGGCTTATGTAAATTTTAGTATGGAAGGCCTTGCATCCTTTATAAAATCAAGGATGAATCTGGAGGCCTAAATTGCAATTGGCTTGTTGCCATTTACTGTTTTATTTATTGTTCTGAACTTGTAGCTAAGAACAGTTTTGAAAACATGTACTGAAAATGCAACTGAATTTCTTTGAAGATGTACTATTTGCACTCTCATCACAGGCCTCAGAGACTGAGACAAACTAAGAACCTTGCACATATTATAGATGCCCAAGTGAAGATACCTCAAAAGACACATGGAACATGATGGCTTCAACATAAACAAAATGTTCTTTCAGTATTCACTGGATCCTACATCATTACGGTGTCACATTCTAGTTACTACATGGATATCAAATGTCTATATTTTGAAATAGTGGCCTTGACCTTTTAAACACAAAATCAATGGGATTCTATCTCATCCACAAAGGAAGTACCCTGTGAAATGTTATTAAAATCTGCTGTTTATAACTCTAGTGACTGTACAGAAAGCATATATCTACAGAGAGATGGACAAAGAACCCCACTCTTATAACCATTGAAAACCTTTTTTGGATGGAAAATAATAAATGCTATTTAATGTACTTATGTTTTTTAACTCTGGAATCACATAATAGGGTCACCTGCAACCCCCACACAAGATAAACTTCCTTATGCAACTGCGCATTATGACCATGTAGGCTTGCCCTTGGGTACATCTTCAACATATTTCAAGCGATTCTTGAGACAGTATTGTTCTGTGTAATACTCTTAAGATTTTGTTGTGTGTACTTTGGGTCACATATGATCCCACGTTGTGGTCTGTGTTAGAGAAATTACAAAGGGCATTTACTTTTTGCTAACATTTAACTGCTTTTCTTTGGTAGGAGGGCATAATAGAAATGACATCTACAAGTCATGAATTGAATCCTGATGAAATTAGGTGTGGTTTGGGAACTCATGTTTTGTTCATGAAAGCTAATTTTCAACGAGAAGTTCCAATGTCTCGTTACTTTTTGTTATTGAAGAAAATAAATTTTTTAGGTTCATTATTAACTTCTCAATATAATTACCTCTAATCATTCAGTACTTTTATAATTTCTAAATACATTGATGAGTGATATTTCAAGCAAACTTGTAGCCGCATTAGTAAGTATAACGGAGGATTGCAAAAGACCCCATGTTGTGGTTAATGTTCAGATTATCCCACGATGTGGTTCTAGGACTAAAAATATTTTGATTTTCTTTATTTTGTCAGTGTCTACCAATTATATGACATCCCATAGTTTGGTGCTACAGATTGATTCATGACAAACCAAGGTAAAAAAAAAACAAAACATGAAACAGCAAAAGAAGAGCAAATATGATTGCTTTGAGACACCAATGTAGAACTATGAAACTTTTCTTGCTGTGTAAAAACTTACTCGCAGCTCTTTTCGATATTGGTGTCTTCTTTCCAGGTGTCCCTTCAGCAGAAACTTCAAACAAGTGGGAATCTGGATCTAGCCCTTCTTCCTGCAAGCACTAAAAAATATGGTATTTATCAATTCAAAAATAAAAAAATGTAAAATATAAGGCTTGTTTGTTGTCAGAGAAAAATGTTGTTTTACATGTATTTTGAAAACAATACTTTTAGCCTGCAGTTTTTTCATTAAGTTGACTACAGTTAAATCAGGTAATGAGATCAAATTATTTCAAAATTTTAACATATTGATTATTTTCAATATTTGAGCAAACCTTTACTGAACTTCATTCACAACAAAGTCATTAAATAGTTTAATCTTCTTATTTTCTAAAAATGTTGTTGATAAGAGCCCCTAAAATATTTTTTTCTAGAAAATTTTTAGATTGACAATGTATTTTAAGCTTTGGAAATCTAGGCCCAGATTTCTTATTAAGTTTTATTTTAAAAATTTAATATGTAGAATATTTCAATGTTCTACTGTATACTAATACTCTAGTTTTTGTTTAATTACTTTTTACATGGGCACATGGAATCTGATTTTGAATGTTTTTTACTTTTTATTAACCAGAAGTAATTTAGAAAGAATGGCATGCAGTTATCTTCAATGTTCCCTCCATGTACGGAATAAATTTTTTCATGTGCACCAGTATCAAGGCAATGTGCGCTACCAGTTTTTTTTTGTTTTTTTTTTTTTGGGGGGGGGGGGTATTTTTAGATTCTCAATCCTGTTGGATCACTAGGCCTCTCTGCAATGTTACCAGTTGGTTATTTGGGCTTTAGGCCTATCAACTGCCCAGCTCATTAAGGCTGTCAATGTGTTGAGACTCCTCACATTATGAGGATGTGTGCAGCCACACAGCTTAGAGGGAACACTGGTTACCTTCCACATTCTTGTACGTAACTATGTTAATGAACTTCAAGTAAAATAAATATGTCACTAGTGTGAAAGACTTCTTAAAAATGGATGCTTTTTTGCAATAAATGGAATGGATACCATATGAAAATGCTTATGTAACTGGATTTACTTTTCTGTGACTTACTTAATTTTACCTTATACATATCATAAATGATAACTGGTCCTCCATTCCAACCCATAAAGGCTAGAGGTTCAAGGTCTGTCTGGGAACCAGAAGCCAGAGGGATCTATGTATTCTCTGGCACATTTTAGGCTATCTTGGGACACTAAATATTCATATTATTTACTGTTAGGATGATCAGTAAACAGTAGTTTTACTTATTTAACTAATGGTTAAAATTATATACTACTTAAAATACAAACTAGTAATTTCATGATACATTAATAAGGATAATACATAGAGATGTTTATAATTGTAACAATTAGATCAGCTACGTATACACTGATTATTTCATTAAGTCCTTCAGGCCAAATTACTGACCAATCATTTACAAACTGAATTTTTTTAAAGGTAAATACAGAACATTATGTATGTTCATGCATGAGCCCCTGCCTATCTTACAACTTTTTTTCTTCTAGTCCTTCTCAATAAGAAATCATGCCCAATTTACCTTACAAGACAGAAATTAATGTCAGAAACTATGATATGTGATATGTTCATTAGTAATAAAAAAAGAAAAAAAAGTAACATTAAAACTTTGTCATATACCTCTTGTTGCTGTTATGTCATTATTAAATAACTGTTGATGGTTGGATTACAGCATTTTAAGCCACACACCAGGCCTATTCAATGTTACTCTTATAGATCCCTAACTACTACTACATTTTGAAATTTATTCTGAATATGTTTCAAATAAAGCGCTAGGCTGATAATAAGTTCAGTATTGACATATCAAAAAAATTTGATAGCAGGGGCTATATTCACATAACTTGGAGACACAAGACCTTATTGATTCTAGTACTAACACAGCATCTATAGAGGAAAATATTATTAATATTTAAGGTACTTCAATCAAATACGTTGAATCCATAAATTACTATGCTTTACATCATATTCTTTCAAAAATTAAAATTTCGCAAATATTACACTAGTTTTTTCATTACCAAGACAATTCAAATCTTAATAACTAAAACATTATCTAACAACCAAAAGTAGTAAGCATAATGGTACTGTTTGTAAGTTTATGAAAAGGTATACACAGCTGTGTATTTATTTATTTTACTGTAGATTTTTAAGTGAATCATGCAGTTTTTCAGAAAGAAATGTAGTATCACAAGTACTTTCATGTTTTCATTCCCATTTTGATATAATAAAATACTCAGGGACTGTATAATTAGCTGAACCAAAGTAAACAAGTCTTAGATGTTATTTTTTATTAACTCGTTCCAATACTTTGCTTTTTGTTTCAGGGCTTGTACTTAACTTTTTTTTTTTGGTAGCCAGCTGTACAACCTAGACATGTCTTTTGGGCAAACAGGTAGCAGTTTAGGTGTACAATCTATTTTTTCCCCTTATTTTGTAACAAAGCAACCCATAAAAAAATTAATCCAGGGGACAAAATAACCGGGTTTGCATCACAATTTGTGAATCAATACAACCCAGTTGCAACTTACTTTCCTCTTTGCTTAGCATAATAAGATGCGAATCATTCATTACTCTTTTTATGTTGTCTTTGAGACCTCCAACAAAGTAGTGAAAGTGCCATAACATTTCAGTTTGATATACCAAAACTGATGTTCATTCCTGAGAATTTCCTGCCAAATGGCATATAAGAGTATTTTCACACTTGTCATGCACATATCACAAACACTTTGTACTAATCTGTTCATTATGTTTGGAATGCACCCCCAGCCTAGCCAACTAGACTATGTACATATTCTATACGCATTACACATTTAGGATTGAGCCCATTACAAACTCTCTCAATACGGGTTTGTATATAGTTTTAATACTATAAATTTAAATACAGAATGTGTATCTTCACAAAATTTGGCAGATATTTAGTAAACATTAGTCATTTGTACACAAATTTGGTGGCCAATGACGAATGAACCACCATTAATTTTGAGCCATTCTGTTTGTAATTTCAAGCATACTAAAATGACTTTTTTTTTCACAGCTGTGGAAAATCAAGAGGTAGAAAAAATGTCAGTAAAGGAATCATCTCTTATTATCAATAAGTTGAGCTAAACAATTTTACTGATCTGCATTAAAAAGGTAGAATATGATAAAAAGATGAAATCGACATGTGAAGAGGTACGTGTACTGAGTTTAGCCTTGATAAGATCATCTGAATATCTGTTTCTTTTATACATATAAATATATGTTAAATATTCCAAAAACAAGTGCAAGCAGTTAAAGAAAAGTTTATGTGTTATATAAATATATTTTAGTTTGCAATATGTTACATAGGTTAATCAAAAATATGCAAAAACCACTAGTGTAAAGATCACCTCCAATGTCTTATATCTACATCAATTACTGAAAAACACCAAAATATATATTTATAAGAATAAAACTGTAGCAGGCCAAGTTTCAATAACCATACTCAGTTCCTAAATAATAAGTACCATTAAGATCTATAAGAAAAAAAATAAATCAAACAGCCCATTTGTTCAACAAACCCTTATTATTATTATACAATAATTAATTTCCCAAGAATATCCAAGCAGTGGGGGCTAATACACAAATGTAAAGCCATTAAATAATATAAAAAAAAGCATTTGTGTGAAATTTTTTTTATAGTTTATACAAAAAGGCAGTAACATCATAAAAGTTTCATTTATACTTTAGTATGAGTTATAGTCACTTCCCACTCGTATTTAGTAATACTAGTAATCATTCCTTAATCAATATCTTTTGCACAATCTTACTTGATACTTTGGTCTGCTATAGTTTTGTATTCCTAAATATGTTAAATACTAAAATAGTTGTTTCTCAGTAAGTAGTTTTTTAAATCTGCTGCTTCCTCTTATTACTAACTTTTACTAAAATAAGTGTCTTGATGATTCTTCTCACTAATCTGTGAGACTGCACTAACCTAATGGCAGCATTATTCCAACAAGAAAATCCATCATGTGAACCTTTTTTAAAATTAAATTTAGGTCTTTACAGTTTACGACCCTGTAATTGTAAGTGTAATGATCGATATTTCATTATTTGTAAATACACTATACAGAAATATTGCTATATTTTGGGCATAAGTTCACGCTACAGCCTACTGAAACAAAGCAATAAAAATATAATTATATAGTGGCACTGATATATGATTTATATCATCAACTTTTTCATACGACCAAGTCTTATAACTACGCTAATTATGAATGCCAGTTTAACATTTTAGGGTGGGCCTAACCTTTGTCAGCCGTTCTATCAAAGCTGCTTTAACACCAGTTTTATCAAGACCTCTTTTCTCTAGTTCAGCACGAAGATCTACAACACGGAGATCAGTTATTTTTTTCTTTGTAGTACTTCCTGCATCTTGATCTTGATGAGTTGCCATAGCGTTTTACACTGTGCTTGTGAATGTTAGAACTTGAAAATCTCAAATCCTACAAGTTCTTATTTGCTTCGACAAAATGGCGTAACGACTATATAAGAAAACCGATTTCTGGATAACTATCGAAAATATGTACAGATGTCGCGAGCGCTGAATTTGTTATATATAAATAAAAATATAATTAATCAACTAATATTAGTATGAATATCTCCATTTTTTCCAAACTTCTGTGTAAATACAAAGAAAGAGAGAGAGGGAGAAACTAATGTTCAATGTGATTCTCGGTAAGCTTCAATTATATATCAAATCCATATCCGTGAGCATGGTTTCTCAAATTGAGACACTTGGAGTGTATAGATTTATTTTTCAACCTAACAGATTTGAAAAGTTTAAAAGGACTTTGTAATTTCTTTGACATTGATTGAGTAGACAGATTACATAACCCGAAGAAATGTAGGATTATTCATAGAAATATTGGTATTCTCAACTGTGCCGCACTTTATACGACACGTGGGCTAAGCGCTCAAGTTAAAGCAAAGCCTGAATTTTAAATTATGTAATATATAAAGTTTGGAGATGGTTTGAATAATTAAGAAAGAAACTTCATTACAAGTTTAACATAGTAACAAATTTAAAACGTTTAGACAAGGTTTTGTCACCATCATAACAAAATATTGTCGAAACTATGTCACATCTAGTCTGTCCACGTGAGGAATGCTTTGATGCTTCACGTTCAATGAGAATGACCGGTCATGTGAAAAAAAAATTGCTAGATGTTTTCGTTTTCATCAGTTGAAGATAACTAACGCGGTGGAAGTGATCATTCTGCATAGGTTAAGCAAATACACACTGCGATTGTGTTTGTGAATTAATAAAGACTGTCTATTTGTACTTTCTTTAATAAACTCAGTTACTCAGAGATTAAGCATTACTTCATAATAAATATATTATAGAACCTCCTGTTATTAAATAGAATTAAATTAAATCTAATTGCAATTAAATAACTCATCTGTAATGTTGCACGTTGTGCATTGATGGCAACAGCAGTTTCTCTAATGGTAAGACAAGTAGTGCCTCAACACCACCACATCTTTTAAGTTTGAATGGGAATGATCAGTTACGTGGGTAGTACTAGTTTATTTGTGTTAGATTGTGTAAATTAGTATTACTAAATTAAGTAAGTAATGTTAGGTTTAAATAGTGTAGTATAAAATTTCGACCAATATAGTTAGGAGAAAAACAGTTTACCATCTAGAAAAAGCAACTGGCTAGCATCCTAAACAAGTACTCACACAGTGTTAGTGATTTAATAAAGATTGTTTATTTGTGTGTTATATCATTTCAAGTCTCTTTTTTCGTTCTTACTAACTTATATATTAGAAATTAAAAACTATTCTGTAATAGACATTTTGTTGAATTTCTCGTTAATCAGTGAACCTATTCCATTAATATAAGTAGGATCAGTTTGATTTGAATATACTTAGTACAATACATGAGCCTAGTACCTTATAGGTACTCGATGGTTGAGCAAGTTCTGACCTATGTTATTTTATAAATCTGATAATAGTTAATCAAAATATGTGTGATAGCCATCCAGCTCTGGTAGCTTTTTACCAGAAACCTGATATCATTGTTTTGGTTATACTGCAGCCTCGGGTGACAATTGAATACATTATGCAGATATACTAAAGGTTTTCTCACCACCTTATTTAACACAAAACGATTCAAAGTTTTTTGTACATTCAAGCTTATGTAATTTTAACTATAGAATGCTGGTTAAGGAAGTAGCTATGCCTTTTGCCCTAATTACCTATTGAATTGGACTATTCATCTAGAGTATCACGTTCATCTTCTCGTGAAAGAGATATCTGTAAAGTTTAACCTTATGTGTGAAAGTAGACAGTAATATTTTCCTCTGATAGACAAAGTGATACTCCAAGATTACACATCTGGTATTCTTTAATGAGACTGACCAATAGTGACAAAAGAAGTTCAGAAGCTCTGGGAAAGAAAAGCATCAATGTTCTGTATATATGTAATGTTCTCACTCTTTACAGAGATTCAGAGAAATTAACTTCTCCCAACACTCCAGTAAAGACGTCATTCTTCATTAACACTCGTCAAATCAGTGCACTTGGCAATACTACAACAACACCCAGTGCACAAAATTAAAATATGGAACAAACCACATGTCAGATATACTGATACTACCAAAGTGTTTGCCACATTGGTGTCTGATATCTTTGAATCTCTACTGGGTTTACGTTAATTTACTGAGAATGCCTTTGGAAGTCGTGGCAAGACCACCAATCTCAAAGTACTGAAATTAGACAAGATACAGCACGATACAGTAAGACATCTTGGAAAACATTGTTTTCTTTCACCTCAAGACTATGTAAAAACCTCAAACTGTTCACTTGTCTGTTATAAAACTCGAAGCTTAACACAGCACAAGTAACGTTAGTAAATTGAAATGTAGACTCTGCTGTGCTAATTCCATCCTAAAAACCCTTCCACTGATTACCTCTACAATCATTGTTAGAATATTATTTTCCAGGCTGCCTTCAAAATTTAAACCTACAACCTAGATCCATCTCGTCATGGTTGAAATAGAGAAATGATTGCCATGAATACAAGTCTTATAATATATTGGATGGAGGGAGCATCAAGTGCAAATGCTGTAAGTCATGTGAGGTTGTTACCTGTACATTATTCGTAAGAAATGTTAGATATACAGACTTGTGCAAATTGCGGACATGTAGAAACTGGTCAGGCAACATTATAATACAAGTGTCAGGCAGAATAAATGTGTTACAGTAAGTAATATTGATGCTGACTGAAAGCAAGTATCCATTGATTGTATGATAAATGATTTTTGGAATTTCATATTCAAGTTTATTTAGTCATGGAAATACCTTAGCCATTGATATATATATATATATATATGTGCATAAAATGGCCGTATCATATCAGTGCTTTGTAATAATGTTGTGATTGAACTTTGAAAAGATGAAAAGGACAATGAAGACCAGAATCTTTGCTTTATGTTTTGGTAAAAACATTTACAAAATCAAAATGTCATTTTGTTAAAAGTTCTCATGGTGTTTCAATATATTATTTTATTCACACCAAGATTAACAAAAATTGAAACATAGAAGCGTTTAATTCATTATACTGTATTCCTATACCTTCTTTTATGCCTTGCCATAGGATCTTACTGAAATTCCACATGTGTTGAGATGAAGCATATTAAACTTCGTCCAGTGTATGAATATCACACCCCTCAACAACAGGGGACTTTAACCAGCATTAATTTTAAAAAAGGTTCACATGATGGATTTTCTTGTTGGAATAATGCTGCCATTAGGCTAGTGCAGTCTCACAGATTAGTGAGAAGAAGCATCAAAGTTAGTAACAAGAGGAACCAGTAGATTTAAAAAAAATACTTACTGAGAAACAACTATTTTAGTATTTAACATATTTAGGAATACAAACTATAGCAGACCAAAGTATCAAGTAAGATTGTACAAAAGGAGATTGTTGTGACACAGATGATCAGGAAAACCTAGTGAAACGCCTATTAAAACTCATGTTCCTAATTACAATTCGATAGCCTAGACATTGCTCTCACTATTGCTGGCAAAAAACTCTAGGTCGAAGAGAGTGCTTCTCCTAGTCGTTGTCACATTCTCAGATCTAGTCCTCACTTTAACAGTGGTTTCTTCCTCTCTGCTTTAAGTTCTGTGTAGTCTACGAATGTATCCTTCCGTTATTATGATTATTCTGTTTTACAGATACCAGAAAGTCAAACAGAAAAAAAAACACATTAAAAATCACCTTTGCAATAAAGAATCCTTTTTTTAAAGGTACAAAAAATGTTACTTTTTAACTAGTCTATGAAACCAAGGTCCACTCTTATCCAGCAAATAAGTTTAAAAGTATTCACAAAATATAGGTTCCAAAGGCATTCCTCAATAGAGGAGAGTTGTAGTAGTTTTGAGTAATCCAAATATCTCGACGTTAACTAGAATAGTTTCTGTGGGGCACCAAGGCACTTGCTAATAACTCAAAGATATACAGTCAAGGACAGAAACAAACACAAGTGAACAAATAAGTAACCTTTATTCACAATAAAATTAATACTATAAAACGGAATGACTTTAGGGACAAAATCTTCTTCATCTGAGTTTAAAATTAATTTCAAATGAGCTATTGGTTCAGTTATCACAGCGTTTTCATTATATTAACTTTAGTGTCTAAGCTTCCATTGAGGCACAATACTGCTATAAAAGAAGATACAGTTTCTTTTATCGTATCTGATATATATTATATTTTCAAAACCTTTGGTGTCTGGCAGATGTTTTCAATTAATTGTTGTTAAATATATGAGATAAGACAATGTGATTTTGTAAAATTGTATGATTTTTTTAAACCTATTTTGGTTTTTCCTATACAACCTAGTTTTGGAAAAAAGGACTTACAGGTAAATCGTTATTTTTGCCCTTAATCACTTTGTAATGTGGTGATTAGGGACACTTTACAAATAAAAGAATTCTGGACCCCATGATTGTGTTAGTTTTGGATAGCATTGATTTTTTTTCAAATAGTGACAAGATAGATTCACTGAAAAAAGGAAGATTTGTCAAGATATACACTGGGGAATAATCTTATATCTTCTGACTTGTTTGTGAGAAATAAAGAGAGACTAGATACAAATGTTTTATTAAAAACAACATAGCGCAATTATGCATTTTACCTACCACAATGGACAATTAGGTTTGAAAATTTTCTAGAGATAAGATCATAAACAAAACTACTCTTGTGAACTCCTATTTTAACCTGAACAAATCTCACATTACTTACTAATATCTTTAACACTAGACTTATCCAGAGTGACTAGCGCTCCTCGCGTGACTGGTCATTCCAAGTGAAACATGAGAGAGTTCATTGCCTCAAAAAATCACCTGTATAACTATATAACTTCACATACTATGAGTAACCTGGCAGATGTCTTTCACGTGAAAATAAAAAAGGCGTAAATGATACAGAAAAGTAGATAGCTAAAGCAAAATTAATTTCATGACTTTTTTACTATTCTGTTATGCAGAAACTGTACATACCTGTACTGATAAAAAATTTGAAAATTCTTATATTAATTAATACAAGAAGGTATAAAACACATGATATATATCATGCTTATATCTGTATGATGTTCCTTTGATATGCATTTGGACTGCAGTATTGAGCTACGATTGTTTCATCTATCCATTAACTTGTCTTCAAGCCATATCTTGAGAATTGAGAGCCAAATATTCTAAATAACATTTATAAGAGAGAAAACTCCAAACTCATATCAATTTGTATAAGTATCTGTATCACCCTTTGAGACAGGCTAGCCCCTCTCCAGATGGAAGAAACACGAGATCAAAGTGATATGAATTTATAACCATTCAAGTATGCAGACTTTACCTGAGTGGAAGGATTAGTACATATTTGTAACCTTTCGATATTCAATTAAAGAGTTTTGGCATGTTTAAGTAAAACTAAATTAACTCTTGAGCTATACTAGATAGGTCTTCTTAATAGCTGGAAATTCAATTATAATACTAATTATGGAGTAATACTTAAAGTATTAATGATTGGATCACTGTTAAGTGAAATAAAGAGATTGGACACCAAATTAAACACAAAAGATGTCACAAACAAAGAAATAATACATAATCTAAAACTATTTAACATGAAACTTAATATTTTAAGCTCTTTAACATTGACCACCTACACCATTTAGAAGGAGTAGTCTTACATTTTCGGCAAAAAACAACACAAAATGAAACCCATCAATAGTGATTATTAAACAAATTCAAAACTTAACATAACTACAAAATGAATACCATTAACTAGGAGGCATTACACACACAAGGAAAAACTTTAACTACGACATTTCAATAATCAAACTGTAGAAGAAAATCAAAATATAAAAAATTGAATGAAATCTTTCCTGATAAATATTAAATTTATGTTCATAAATGAATAAGCGTTAAACAACTCACCCAAATGGATCAAGAACAATGACACAAGGTAAATACCCATTTAATGAAGAAAATAATAAAACAATGCCCTTTAACAATGAAATACAGAAGAAAACTTTTCAAGAATGAAATACTCTTCAAAACATAAAATAACCTTGAATAATAATAAAAAACGCAAAATAACCCTCAACATAAAAAAACTACACATTAATAAGAGTTCTTAAATCGACGCATATAAAATTAACTATTTAATATAGATAAGAAATAACAAAAACGAAAAACACATAAATATATACAATATCTAAAATTCTTCATAAATTCCAATACACACAAACTATATATATATACCTAACTTATTTGAGCCCTGATGACAGATCTTCTAAAATGGATGTAGGTTTTCAGTTGGATGCCACCAAATCATTGTTTTGACCCAGGGAATGGCCCATTTGGTCTGATATAGTGTTCTTCATAGTATTTAACCTCTTCCTCTAACTGGTAAGTGATATTGAGGCACCATTGAGTCGATCACCTTCCTTGTTGTATACAAAGCTTAGACTTCTGTTCATTTGACAGCCACTTCTTGGCAATGCCACTTTATGGTTTGGACTTGTATCATTGTCAGTGATGGTGATTGGTGGGGTCATCAGAAGGTCGACCCTCAGCTGTTGCTAAGGTAACTTTTAGAAGCTTTGAGTTTTAGGTTACTTGGACTTTGGCATCTGATTTTCATTGGACCTATGGTCCAGTAATTCTCATAATGTACTGGGTTGGCCATCGAGGTGGAGGCCCCTCATTCACCTTGAAGGCGATTTTGGTTAATGGTAGCCGGTGGTTCGATCAGTGGTGAGGACTTCTTTGCTAGTTATTCTGGTCAAGGTGGTAGTGAAGGTTGATGTAGCCACAGCTGAAGTTGATGTGGCAATTGAGTATCGAAACTGCCTTGCTCCTGACTCCCCAGCGTTCAGCCTCCCTTCGAGGTGACTTTAACCCCAGGAAATTTTTTTCAGCTTTGGGATGTAATGGTCCAACAGAAGCTGAGTACACATTCGTTACATTCTTTGATATAAGAGAGATAACAATCTTTGCAAAATTTTTGCTAAAGCTATGTCATTTGTCTGTGATATAGGTGAATTGAAGATTGTCTTTTGTTTGTTTGAAGTTAAGCACAAAGCTACACAATGGTTTATCTGTGCTCTGCCCACCACAGGTATCGAAACCCGGTTTCTAGCGTTGGAAGTCCGCAGACATACCGCTGTGCCACTGGGGGGCTTAAGGCTGTCTTCAGAAGTGCAAGTGATATCACATACACACACACACACATATATATAATTACAGAAAATCCCGCATCTAACAGGTTTGGTGTCTCCTAATGGACAAACGACATGATTGTTTTCTTCCTATAATAAATCTATGTTTTTTTTGTGTGTGTGATTTTGAAAGTACAAAAGACGATATATATATATTTAGCATTTATTTTATTTCTAGCTTTGCTTTTCATGCCTGTGTATTTTTGAATAAGGGAACAGGAACTAGTAACCAAGTTCAACCGAGATAAATCGAAACCAAATTAACCATGAGTCGTAAAAGAAGTGTAGCTTTGCTACTAACATTGATTTTTTCACCTCTTGTTTTTAATACTGTCTCTGAACATGATGCTAGAGAGGAATTTGAAATGATTCGGAAAACCGAGAAGCATTTACTAGTTCTGTTTAGTAAGTACTGAGTTTTTGTATTTAAATTTGATTGATCGAAAGTATGGGAGTCGAGAAATATTCCGATATTGCTGACACGTGTCGGAAAACGATGTTACTGTTAGTTTATCGTAAACTTTATGATATATATTTTTTGAAGGCCATCTGAAATAAGTGTCAAGGAAATTACATTTAATTATTAGCAGTAAAGTAATTATCATCAAGAAATATATATTGTATTTAAAATAACAGCAGACCAGAGCAAATTTATGTTTTTTAGTCACAACTTCAAAACAAAAGAGCTTAAATATTTATAGTTTATTCTGTATAATTAAGTTTACTTTGATTTTAAAAATATATATATTTTTCAGTTGTCAGGTAAGCATATGTTAAAAAAATTACTTCCGGTTTAATTAAAGAAGGAAGTCATTAGGATGCTCATTTTGATTTCAAGTTTAACAAATTACCCAGATATTTGTCATAAGATTCTTTACTAATAAAGTCGATTTTTTTACATAAATGAAAAGAAGCCAAGTTTGAAGCCTTGGACCTTATAAGTTATACACATATATATATATTTGTGTGTGGGTGGTGATGACTAGCTGACTTCCCTCTACTCTAGTCTTTCAATGCTAAATTGGGAGAAATTCAAACCAAACCAAACCATGCTTGTGTGTGTGTGTGTGTGTATTGTGCTTGGATAATTGTATGTTCACTCAAGCACGTTGATAAGTTTACAAATGCAAATTCAGGGTCAGATTTTGGACTATAATGGAAAGTTAAAAAAATGGATTGAAGATTGACCTGTTATATAAAAAAAGTAGAAAGCATGTGTTAGTACTAAGTGGGAAATTTTATGTTCAATGAATGAAACTAATTATTTGAGTTATACAAAAAGTGTTTTATACTTCAATAACCTTTGTTGTTTAATTACTTATATAAATGATCGAGATGTCAATATTAATTATAAATGTGATAAGAGTTTCAAAAGATCAAATGATGAAGTGCCATTTGCCCATCCAATATTCCACATAAACATTTATACCCAACAAGAGCCACAAAACCAAACTGAAATGAATATAACCCCATAAAATTTATGTACCTAATCAATAAATGTTTCAAATGATTCAAACTAACGGAATACAGTACATCATAAGACAAACCTTCAATGAGCTTATAACTCTTAACAGAGTACTGACTATAAAATGAGTGTTCATTATAAGGTTATGTAAGTTCCTATTCAGTCTGTTCTGGGGGAAAATTTCTCCTGTTTTACACTTATAAATTTCTAGTATGTTTGAAAACTTAAGCTCCTTGCAATATTCTTTCTCAATATTAGTAGTTTTTATTCCAAAACCATAATGGTTCCGAGGGAAAAAGTGATGATGATGTTCTCTGTCTGTAGACATTTACTTTTAGCACAGTAACTAGAGTTCTAAAGAACAGATTTTAAGCAAACTCTGCCCGTCACTTTCTTTAGAGCTGTAGAAAAATCATATCAATTTTGAGGTTAAAGGTCAAGGTCACTATATAGAAATAAAAATTGAAGTTTGGTTTCTGTGACAATGAAAACATGACTATAAAATATGCACATACATAAACACACCCAAATCAAACAAATAAATAAAAATCTAATGATTGGGAGATCAGCCATCCTACTGATGGTTATTTTGTTTTTAATTAGGACAGATTTTGTGATCACTGTATCTTGAAAGTAGAAGGATCTATCAAATTTTGCACTTGGTCTCAAACACTATCACAGTCATTTTATTGATATGTAGAGTAAATACTAGGGTTTTGTTCAAAGGTTCATTCATGAGCCACAAATTCAAAGATACTTTTAAACATTTGAAGTTCATCAGGCAACACTCAAATAGCATCAGAAATTGTATGGAAATTGTGAGTAAAACCAGCACAGCTGTCCTGAAAAATGGATAAATCTAGGGATTACTAATGTCTTCACTAACTGCTACCTTTACTACAGTATATTTATTTGTGGGTTCTTGATTAAACAGTATTTTTCTCAACAGCTTTCTTGCAGTAGAACTGATATAACTTTGCTTACAATATAGACAAGTTTTATAACTTTTAAAGAAACTTGTTTATAACTGTTACAATGACACTAATAGTGGAAGAGATCTGCTTGTTGTTGGATGGTCAGTCAACATAAAGTACACAAATATTTGGCTTGTTATCTATCTTGAGATATAGTAACCAATTACTTGTAATACATTTTACTTTAGAGGTTTAGATTTTCCTCAGGTCACTTTCATTGCAAAAATAATTTCGCAGTTAGCATTCAGATAAATACATATTTCAGCATTACACAAAAGTCAGCAGTGATAATTATTTCAAGAATTCTTAGTTCTTGTAAAGAGAAGAAATCCTGTATATGTTAATCAGGTGATAAATTATGCAAAGTAGTTCAGGTGGAGAAGTAATACTAGTTTCTTACTCTTTTCAGACAAATGAAATGATAAAATTTTGGGAAAGTAAAATCATCATCATCAATTCAGAATTTCTCTAGGATACTAAAACTAGAAGAACCTAAACCTTGTTTAACTTTTGCATTGCTCATTAAAGCTTATATTTGCATGTAATAATGTTTCTTAAACAATTTGTAATTACAGTAATCATGATCAGGTCTTTACTGTCAGTATTAAATTTTATTGTATTAACTTGATATTTTACGAGTATCGAAGAAATCAAGATTATTGGATGAGGACTTATACATAAAAGTGCACAGCGTAATTGCATTGATAATGAAATGACTAAATAGTGTTGAATAAAAATCTTGAGTGTGAAATTTATTTTTTACTCATGTTTGTAAACTTGTATTTTATATAATAGGTATGCCATGTTGCTCTTGTGCAGAGTGTGTGGAAGCAGAGGTACTTTTAACCTCCATTCATCCAGAACTAGATGAAGCTGTTGGTGTAAAAGTTGTGAAGTTGACAGACCAGACAGACTTGGAGAGAGAATATGGCATCACAAAAAAACCTTCACTTTTGTTTCTAAGGGAGAAAATACCATCTCTTTATGATGGTTTTTATAATTTTTAGTATTCATATTTCAGTAATGTAAAAGTTGAATTTTGTGTTACTCGACTAAGGAAGCACATTATGCTAATATAATAATAGGTAGGCAAACAATGATTTATAAGCATAAGGAAAAGTTTTATTGATGGTGGAACATACTAAATGTCTTCTTCAGGTATTATCAGTACATAAACCTTGTATTGCTTATGTACTGATCACACTTAAAGAAGATAGACCAATGTTCTGTTCCACCATCAATAAAACTCTTCCTTAAACTTATAAATGGTTGTTTGCTTATCTATTATTATCTAAATTAAACTAAACACTAGAAAACTCAAAGCTATCCCTTATTGTTTCCACTATATCTGAAGGCAACCCATTCCAAAGACCAACTGCCCTGTTAGAAAAATAAAGCTGCCTTAGCTGAAGATGACTCCTACCCTGCCAAAATTTATATTTTGTCCTTTAGTCGTACCATTCTCACCATTAAATACAAAAAATAATGAGATATCAACACTGTCAATTTTCTTAACAGTCTTAAACACCTCAGTTACATCCTCTTTAATTCTTCTTTTTCAAGATGAAACAAATTTAGAAATCTTAACCTATCCTTGTGTGACATAATAACTTTCCATCCCAGGTATCATATTTAGTAGCCTCCCTTTGAACCCTTTCCAATAACTCAGTGTCCTTTCTAAGGTAAGGAGCCCAAGAGTGAACATAGTACTCTAATTGTGACCTAATCAATGAACTATACAAAGACATTATAACCTCTTTAGACTTGTATTCAATATTTTTGTAGATACAATCTAAAATCCTATTTGCCTTGCCACTAGCATTTGCACATTGCTTGGATGGCTTAAGAGACTGATCAACTGGAACACTAAGATATTTTTCTCCATGTTGCTGCTAAGATTATTTCTATCAAAATTATACTTATAACTTTAACTTTGATATTACACATGCTTTTATTATAATTAAAAGCCATCTGCCATTTATTCGTCCAACTCACCAAATAATGCAAATTCCTTTGTAAAGCAATAGCACTCCCCTCATAGCCAGCAACATCCAAAACTTTAATGTCATCAGCAAATTTAAATAATTTATTGATCATACCTTCATCTATGTCTGAGTTATTTAGTTTTACCTGTGGTTGAGTTGTTTATTCATTATTTGATTTTATTACTGAGCAACTACCTGCAGACAGTGAAAGTAGTTTTATTCAGAACATTGTGGGTTTATGCACCTGAACTTCTAATAATTTAAAATGTGTTCAACTGTTGTTACACAGCACATTCTTACCCACATTGGTGTATAATTAAATAGACAAGCTATATATGCATCATAGAAGACTGATTTAGAAGTGGTGGTATGTCTCCATGGGATGGCAAAGCTCTTCTCACTCCATAAGACAATGCCATGTTTTCTTGACCTTTTATTTTTATCTAAATAAGGGTCTTTTGAATGTAAGGGCAAACTTTTTTTAAGCATTTAATTTCTTTAGAAAACTAAATTTAGATTATGCATTATGGGACATTAGGGAGCCTTTAGCCTCTTAATCAAGAATGTCTTGACTCCCAACTTCCTTCAACAAACAGAAAACTAATTGTTAAAACAAAACTGATCTTCCAAATATCCACCAACTCTTTTCATGAATTCCCTTTAAGTTGCAACCTCTACCATTTTAGATAGCAGTTTTTTCTACAGGTTTACCACTATTGCAGAAATAAAACTCCTAATCTTTATCTATCCCCAAATCATAACCCAACAGTCCCTGGAATCATCCTAATAGCCTTCATTTGAACCCTCTCCAATTACTTGATGTTTTTTCTAGGGACTGAATCTGAACATTAGTGGACAATAAGTCTTTGTTGTAATGTGTGCTGGACTACAAATTTTAATTTTGTTTTTGATGTATTAATTTTGGTATATCACATTTTTAGAAACAATATTTACTTTTTGTAGGCGAGTTTGAAACCAATGCACTTTTTCACTGGATTGGTGCTAACAGAAACCCTGCCGTGAAATATCTTGATGACACAAGTTTTGAACATCTGACCCAGGCTTCTACAGGAGCAACAACAGGAGACTGGCTGGCTGTTTTGTAAGTACATATAATCTAATAGTAAACAAACTTTTACAAAGAAATCTGTCATTATTTTGAGTTTATGTTCCACCAATCAACTGTTGACAAGACCTTTAACTTAAAAATTCTGAAGTACAACATACAATTTACATCAAAAGTACATTTAAAATTTCACTTAAAAGCATTCTAACCATAAGATCGTGGCACGGGTGTATGTATACATCTATATAAATATATATATAAGTACTGTGCACAGCAGTGCCATATTTATTCTAACAATAATGTTATACATTTAATGTGGAAGTTGATTATACAAATTCTGCTCAGTCAGTCAATAGTTACATATGATGGGTTTTGTCCATTGGGATAATGGTGTATCATTTGGCAAATGACAGTCTATGTGTGGCAGTGGAGGAATTTAAGTGATACAAATATAAATTAACATTTGTTAACATCAGTTTGGATTCCAGGAGACAATATCCTTACAGAATTAAATTCTTAAATGTTAAATATGAAAAACAAAGACATTGGGCTAATAAAACATGTCAAATGTATGTACCAACTATTTATTCTTTATAACGTTTTCAGCATACAGTTGAGTTTTACATGGAACTATAATTAATTTTATAAAATTCTAAGTGTTTCAAGGTTTCAAGTCAGGTGTTTTTTTTTTGGGATGATAAAAATTTGTTAAAGTTCATCTTTGAGGTTTATTGTCATTGTTTCTTTGAGTTTCACACAGTTTTCCAAATTGCTTTGAATCACATATGTTGATTGGTCAGTGTAAGTCTGGAGTGGCCCATTTTTTTTTTAGCAGTAGTGCCAATTTTATATTTCGAATTTGGAGTGGTCCTACTGAATTAAAAACACTCCAGATCAAAAGGCCACAGGAATGGGGAGATGTGTGTTTATGTTCAAGCAGTCAAATTAAAATGCATTACAGATTAAATGAAATAATTAATAATATCACATGTATTTTAAAAACATTTCATGCGTGTGCAAAAATTCCAAACAGAATTTGTACTATGAACCATAGCACATCATATTTTCCAAATGACAGACATGCCACAAGATTGCCTTGCATGCTACTTATGTGTTGGACAACTCTTATATAAATCTGTATTGGTCACTCTGACACTGTAATTTATCAGAAATAAGGAAAGTAAACGTGATTTGTAATTGCAAAACTTGTTTCCAGGTGTCTTCATTAAAAGTGAATTTTTTATATAATGTGATCAATTATTCATTCATGTAAAATCATTATGAACTTGATGGTGGAATACAAAAACCAATCAATCACTAGAGAACTCATTCAACTGAAACAGCACTAATTTCATCTACATTAATGAAAACTTTGGCATTGTATCAGACTAGTGTTGGCTATACCCAAATTTCTCTCTTGTATTGATAAAATAGTATTTATAAGCTTTTTCTCACAATAACTAGCATGTTATTAAATGATACCAAGTTTGTCCAAACAGTTCCTAAACATTGCATGGTTATTGTTGGAGACTCGTGTAATAATTGTTTTCTTACAATTTTCTTACTTATAGCACTGACTCAACATGTGAAAAGGGTCAAGCCCTTTTAGCAATTTTAGAGTCAACTGCAGGCAGGTAAGAAATTATAATTTTCATAGAATAACTTTATAGAATTTGAATTATTTGATCGATAAGATTATAAATTGTCGGAATAGGAAATTCAAAACATAATTTATATTTTTATGACAAATTACTGTTATTTTTTGTGAAATTTCTTGGCAAAAACATCTAGTTTTTTTTTCCCCAGCAATATTAAATTTCCTTTGAGTGAAAAAGGATCCACAATACACTGAAATGAACAAAGCTTGTGAGATAGCAAATTCTACTTCTATTTTGTTATGGTTTTGTTTACTGTTCATTTATTATTCCTTCTATCATTTAGTTCAACTATGAATTTTTAGTTATATTAAATGGCTTACTCACTGTCTAGCTAGAGAATGTTGAATTTGAATATGTTTGTTTTATAAAACTGACACAAACTTCCTCTAGTGGTGATGTACAGATATTAATGTTGTGAAAAATTATGTAAATTACATAGTCACGTGAGATGTAACCTTGTGGTATAACCACTAAATAAAAAACCTTCCTTGATCTTAAATGAGTTAGTTCATGAGATGTAGTTAGAGTACAATATTTATGGTTGTTCTTGATATTGAGAAGTGGTTTAATTTTGGAAAACTGTGTTTTTTCAGAACTTGATTTTTTTTTCTTCTTCTGGTTCTTTTTCATAATTCCTTTATTTATTAAAATGAATAACATTGATATCTATGTTGTATTGTTTATTAACATTTGTATCAAGCCCTGGCCAGGTACAAATTTACTAACTGTTTTTTTTTGTGTGTGTGTGTGAAAGGTAAAACTTGTATTCCAATTGTTTGAAAGTTTTGTTTTGGATTTCTGTTGTTACAGTTTAATAAATATTTTGTTTAACCATGGTTGTGGAAGCATTTTGTGTTAGTCCATTGCAAGCTGACACTGAATTTAAAGCCACTGGGCTAATATACAAGCATCTGTGTCTAATATTCTAATAAATGAATCAAAATACAAAGTTTTTGGGAAGCTCTGGATAACTGAAAAGTGGCAAATACACCAGAGATAGAGCAACTATGGCATGTAGCTCTTCATATCTAGCTTCTGATGACCTGCAGAGAAGAAAATCCAGATGATTTTTGTATTGCTTTAACATGGGTGTCTGTGCCATCCCTACATAGAGAGTGCTATCACACTCTCTGATAGTTTGAATGTAAATATATTATTTTTGTAATTGTTCTTGTATCTGATGTGTTTTATTGTTAAAGCTTGAAGTGAATGTAGATATAGTATTTTTGTATCTTATGGTGTTTTATTGTTAAAGCTTGAAGTGAATGTAGATATAGTATTTTTGTATCTTATGGTGTTTTATTGTTATAGCTTGAAGTGAAAAGTGGATGTAGATATAGTATTTTTGTAGTTATTCTTGTATCTGATGGTGTTTTATTGTTATAGTTTGAAGTGAATGTAGATATAGTATTTTTGTATCTTATGGTGTTTTATTGTTATAGCTTGAAGTGAATGTAGATATAGTATTTTTGTTTCTTATGGTGTTTTATTGTTATAGCTTGAAGTGAAAAGTGGATATAGTATTTTTGT